TCTCTCTATATGTAATTCATTTTAGATTTTTTTGCTATTAAAGTAGTTTAAAATCTCTACTAATATTTTTTATCGATATCCCCCTATCATTAATAATATCGATTTATATGAAGGCTTCAATTAATTTACGATATTTTCCGATGTAATGACGTTGGTTGATGATCTCTAAATTTAAGTCAGTGAGTAATGAGAGAAGTTCTAGATTATGAAAATAGGTCAGCAAAATGTGTTTAAATTCCAGAAATGCTCGGTTCCAGATTACTTTTTTATTTTGCATCTCAACCTAGTGGGGTGATCGGCTACATAAATATGATCTATGTACTTGTTTAATAATTAGAAAAATCTACTCATTAATACATATATTCCTACAAATCAATACTTATAACTTATACAAGTTTTCTTACCTCAACTGTAACCACCACATTTAAACCTAGGGCCTCTCTAATGCGTTTAACTAATGGCCCAAGCAGGTGGAATTGGTACTTAACTTAACTATTACTGCTATTATATAAATTAATTATTTATATAGTTAAGAAAGCATTTATACCTTCCCCGAATTCGTATAATCCTAGTCCTTTTATACAAAGATTACCAAAGTAATTTATTGGTGGAAAGTAGTGAAATACTACCGTCTTTGAATGAGGCTTTCGAGATTGAAACGAAAGTACAAAAAGCGTGGGCGACCCGCCTAAGTTCTCTCGAGGGACGAGCGTTAAGAATATACACGTTGAATAAATAAGTAGCTTTATCTATTCAAATTTTAAAGGCTGAAATGTCCGATTTTGGTATTTCGTAAGTGATTCGATGGCGTTTTTAAAAATATTAATAGAATTTTATACTAGCTAAACGAAAATGCTAAAAAGTTTTCCAGCGCCACTCACATCATAAAGACCGCTATGGCGGAAGATTTTTTCTTACAAAGATAGTGATTTGAGATTAGAAACGACCAAAAAAGTAAATCAAGTAATTTGAATATTTGTAAATTTTATTGTTATTGCACATGATGATAGTATATTTCTATTGCAACAGAGATTCAAGATTTGATACGACCAAACAACTACGCAGGAAAATGATTATTAAAATTTAATATTTGAAAAATTTTCACATAATGACATTAATGTATATTACTCATCTATTTAGATGAAAATAGTACAAGACTGATAGTTCCGTTCTTCTGGTCTTACTCCTTCCGCAAGTGTATGTATTTAATTTAAATAAAACACTTTAACGGTTTAAAACGCGATATATTAGTTAAACTTATTTGGAAATTATTTTTAAAAGTTAAAAATCATTTTCAAATAAGTTTAACTAATACATCGCGTTTTAAACCGTTAAAGTGTTTTATTTACATGTGTACTACTCGCGTAAACTATAGACAGAATGTATGTATTTAATTCATGTATTAAAGTTTGAATAAATTCGACGCTGACGTGTAGGATACAGTAGTTCATTTGATTAGAGCAAAGGCACGGAAAGCTGTGAATGCAGGTTAGAGTCCTGCCCGTGTCGTATTTTAAATCTAAAGCGATTTTTAATTTAATTTTACTTTAGGCGGGATTTGACCCGCAACAGCGTCCTATGATATTTCTCCATACTATTAGCTACCGTGTCAAGTCAAGATATCTGCAACCTTTATCTACTGTCATAACTTACACTAAAAAGATTTAATAATTATTATATACCCGTAATAAAGTCTTGGTAGGTACCTACTTTGGTTACGCTTAGTTACCCCATACATACTGTAAATATAATTTATCACATCAGGAGTTCGTTGCAATATTTAGGTATAGAATTAATACAAATTTCGTATTTAATAGGACGTAGTAAGAGCTATCTGCTTACGTTGAAATATTCTAGTGTCACTTCAGCGTGGACGAGTGGTGGGACTCTTAAAGACCTATCGAAACTGTATCACTGGATCTCGCAGTTAAAATTGAGAAATAAATATTATACCAGCCTCGGGATTATATAATTATTATTAGAATCCAGCTCGGCCCATTATTTAGTTTCTCAGAAGAATAAAATCAACTTTGTAATTATATTAATCTGAGTATAATAATTATGAGAGAATTTTTCTTTAATGAAACACTTTTAACGGTTTAAAACGCTTAGTATTCTATTAAACATACTATCACTACGAATTGACAACGACCTCCTACAATCAAAATGACATTGTGAATTCTGTAAGGTCTGAGCTAGTTTCACCACAACAGATGGCGCTAGCGTAGCGATGTGACTTTGAAATTTGGGACACCCTCCATCCTCAGTCCCTCCGTGATCACGTTTAAGCCTTAATAGGTATTTTATTGAAATTGTATGTGACAATATAATTTTCTACCTTTAAGTATGAGGGTAGAGAAATAAATTAAGAAGACGTTGGTTTGAAATAAAGGACAGAGGCCGAATGACCACATAAAGATACAAAGCACGTACCGAACATTTAGTGTGGCAAGCCAAGCCTTCCATAACAAAATAACGCTTCCTTCATTCGTTAGCGAAATTAATGACTCAGTAAATGAAACTTTTTAAATCTCGTTATACAAAACCCTCTTTTACGTGTAAAAGAGTGTGAATTAATGAATACAAATTTTAATCACTCTAAATATACTCTAAATGGATTCGGCCGCTTTTTCGTATGTTTATCTGCTTTGCCCAACATAATCTACTAAGAATTTAGATACATCTTAAATTCCTCTACCTACCAGTTCAAATTCCTTTGATTCTTTCCAATATAGAATAATGTATTGAAAAACTACTCTATTTTCCAATATTTGTTTTAGGAAGACTACAATGTTGTATTCATAGATAGTAGTTTAGTAAACTTTAAGTTAACCTAATTTGTGTCATACTGCTTCTTACATCTGAATATCTTACGAATTTCGAGAAATATATTTCCAGGGATTGGAACCCACGATACGCTCAACAATATTTATACTACTACTCCCCCAACTATACAACAATATTTATAATTATTATTAAATAATTATAAATGCTGTTCACTCTGTCTTGAAGTAATATTTAAAAATAGCATACTAAATTCTTCTGAGAAGTACCATTCATAATAATATAAGAGCCATGGCATGAAACTGGGTGTAAATTGAGACAAATTACTATGAGTGTGTCGCGTTAGTATGACGTCACGTTTAATCCAAATAAATAATGGTATACTACATCATCTGGTAATGGTGTTTTTGTATTTGTCAAGCGCTATATATTATACTTTATATAATGTGACTGATCAGAAAATATTACAAGGCTTAAATCACGAAACATATTAGTTAACCTATCTTAACTACGGCCCAACGTTTCGGATGCTTCAGCCGTAGTCACTGGGGGCTGAAGATCAAGGGTGTGCCTGATATCTTAGTCAAATTTATAATAAATAGCTGGCGCAGGCGTAGCGTAGTAGACGCTAGCGCCATCTGTTTCACCGTAGTTGTAGGGTTATACTTTCCTTTATAATATTATAATGTGCTATACGTGGAAACATATTTTTTATAGTCCTTTGCTAATTTGTTTTCTTTATTACCGTATTTTATATCTCCTTAATTGTAAAAATTACAGCAGAATATGTAAAATAAACCCAAGTTCCTGATAAAATTACACGTCAGTTCCTCACTGTCTTACAAGTTGTGAGTAACCTAACGCTGAAATCCCAAAACAGCTGCGGTATATTATCTCACTTTGTTTTCTGTAGATCTATCAATTTTCGCAGTAATTTGAGGCAACTGGTGATGGATCGTGGCTGAGTAAAATGAGCCGTAGAACAAACACGTCACCTACAACTAAGAGCAGAAACTGCTCTGACAATTTATATTCATTCGACTTATAGTATAAATGCATCATTTTTAAATAGTAAAAGAAAAGTCAAGTTTAAAGTACATAAGTCATGTACTTAAACTATAATAATTTAATTACAACACGACGTTACAGGCACTATTTAGAAGTCAAAGCGGTTTATTCCACAATAGTAGAACGTGATATAAAAGTAGTTTCTAGAAGATTTTTTTACGTGTGTAGTTTATGCGAATCTTGAGAAAATATTAAAACTAGACACGAGTATCATTTTCATCAAAGGTTTTAGTAGATACTAACTAGACTATACTGTAAAAATTTATGTCGTTCTCACGCTTTAAGCTATATATGTGACTCGTTCTTATTGCTACGATGGCTGGGGAAAATTAATTAAAACAACTGAATGATACAAATTTATTTATTTTTGTCACGCCACCCACGAAATATAGTAAATCAGTTGACGCATTCTTCACACGGAAATAGTATTGTGCGACCCCAATGTTTTACATAATTCTTAACATACAACCAGAGACATTAGTTTATCAGTCTAAAGTTACTTGTATTCCTTAATGTAAGGGAGTTTAATAAATACTAAAGAATGATAGACACAACAATTGCTTAAAATGTATCATGATGAAGGATTGTCAATCAAAAGTAATTGATTTAGAAGTTGAAATAATATTATCTTATCTGATTTATCTTAGTATATACAAAGAATTACAAAAAAATATAAAATGTTCATATATATCTCGGAGGCAAATAGTGATAGAGTTTTTACTACTACTTAACATACTCACTAATTTTTATTATTCAATCTATGTCACATATAATTATCATTAACAAATACATAATTTCTCTTTTTATTTTATTTTAATACCGACTACGTAGATTAGATTAGAAATGAGCTAAAATCAAATAACTTTGGTAACAGAGACACTACGCTATATCGTCTTGAAAATGAAATGAAATAGTAAAAGTGAAAACATGTTATAAGTTTAGGTACCTAAATAAAATATTTAGTTATTATTACTTAATAGAAATTATTTACAACGAACTAGACCATAGTCTACTGGTCCACTTTCCTTAATTCACATTTAGTACCTAGTTTTCTTTCTTATAACACAATGTCTACAAATATGTCTTTTGTCCGGAGATAAATTCAAGTGCACAACATTAATTGCCCTATCAAAAGTAACTCTCGGAAGTCATCGGGTTAAAGTCACTTCAGTATCACTCGAACTTCTAGAACTCTCCTTAATAACATCTAACTCCCTGTTTGATAATGAAGAATGTCTCGAGAATTTTTGCGTCCCATTATATTCTATTTTATCATCCGAACACTCGTGCGCTCCGTTATATTCCTTAGTCTCATCGGAATCATTTTCAGTTAAGTCATTCACTTCGACTTCCAATAAATTCTCCATTTCCTTAGGGCACGCGAAGTTTCTCTCGTGACTTAAGCTGCGTATTCTATCTAAGTTGTGTTCTAAATTCGGAAAGTTGTCGTCATCGTCGTCTATACACGGGGAGTCGTTGAACTTCCATTTAATATTAGAATTAAAATGTTCTACCCCAGGATAAACACTTACACTATTACTTCTGTGCCCGAAAACCGGACAGTTTCGGAACTCTCACAACTCTGAATGTCTATTGTTACATACTTTGCTGAAGTTGCCTTCGTCTAAGCTCAAATTGGACCTAGAACGACCGCATTCAAATGCCGCACTCGGTCTAAATAAGCAGATATCGGAGTTTTTTAATCTGCAATGTCTTGAACATGACTCTATTTGAAAGTCTGATCTATCTAAATGTCTATATTCAGTTGGACCGTAGCTATCAAAGAATCTGGAGCCATGCTTGCATGATCCGTGGTAACCTTTGAAGGACCCCGTGCACCGAATAGGATCTCTATGGCACGCCTTTTGTAATGCATGTAGTGAACTAGAAGACACTGTACGTTCTAGGATTTCTCCCCAATATTTCTCTCGGAGTCCCTCGAACTCGCCCTTTGAATGTAGCCCGTCTGATGTTACGGGGGAACCACAGCAGCCGGTTGGTTTTTCATAGCCTGGGAACGATTTTGATTTTCGACAGCAAATCTAAACAAAAAAAAAACAACATGTAACATTTACAAATTTAGTTGTTGCAAGATTATAATACCATTAAACATTTTATAATAAATTTAGGCTACACATTTATATTTCTAAAAGCTCTAATATATATCTGAAATTACATAAAATGTATAATCTCACATAATATTGAAGAAGATCATTGCTTATCCGCCTAAAATGGCTGTTTAAAAGCCAATACAAGAAGGGGTTCCAAAAACTATCGCTTAACGCTATCCATGTCACGATGAAGTCCAACGAAGGAGGAACCTGTAAATTGTTGAAGGGATACAATCAGTTTTTATTGCAGTTATAAACGGATAAATTAATAATAAAAGGCTTAATTTTAAGTTTTTACAGCGCCATTCGCTTTATTCGTAACAACCTTTTAAAATCTTATTTAAAAGCAGTACCTTACAACCAGTGCAAGCGGCGACCACTTCTTGAATAGTCGCTGGTGTGACCATAACAATAAATCCCAAAGACATTGCAGCCATTGTACGTGATGTGCTAACGCTATGCGGCCTTATCGGCGCTTGTATTTGCTGCAAAGAATTAATGAATAAATTCCAAAGGAATTCAAAACGGATTTTAGTCTAGGAATGGCATTGAATTACATTTACCTACTAAGCGAGTAGTATACATTTAAACAAAACACTTTAAATTAACGCGATATTTATTAGTGATACTGTTACAAAGCATCCGAAACGTCGGCCCTAGTTAAATTAATTTTCAAATAAGTTTACCTAAACCGTTAAAGTGTTTTAACCGATGTAGCTGATGATATAGATGTAGATGTTTAGTGGCAGAAACTGTTTGGTGAGTCCTAGGTCAGAAAAATAGGTAGTGTACTTACCACTGTCTCAATATCGATATGAGTTTTTGTGCACGACTTCGAAAGCCCGTTGGGTCGAGGTTCGTCACATTTTCCTCTCGTTTTACTCACGTGGAAACCAGATCCATAACAGTACATTAGAGCCATTGTTGTGGGGAAGTAGTATGCGCAGCAGGAGAGTATTCTAAAAAAATGATTTATTCAACGAAAAATAATGATATTGAGAAGGAAACTTAGTTCAATATCTAATTCGATATGAAATGTATAATTCTTATATTTTATACAATATAAAATTAGAGTATTTTTGTGAATCCAATGAGATTTAGGTATTTATTTTTGAGATAAATGTTTTCAGTATCTCTAAAGAAACTTTAAAGCGTTTTCGGAAAAATGTTTAAAAAATTATAGATGAAGTGAACAAGTTCATATTACAAATGTCGGAACCTGGAGAAAATGAAACCTATAAAACTCTCTATTCAAACTTAATGAGAACTATTGTTAGCCGTATACCTGAATGCTACTCGACTGTGGAAGACGTCACATGCCATTAGACCCGTGGCGTTAAAGTAATAACCCGACTTGGGTAGGACCATTACCGCAAACAAGGAGACGGATAAAATCCACGTTATACTTATAACTAGCACGCAACCCTGCAAGAAAGTTCAATTTGAGTATATTCCGGATGCCGTTAGACTCGAGACATTAATTTTAATATTGATAGGTTTCCAGTATATTTATACAATTTCATTTAAATTGACTGAGTAGTTTAGGCGCAAGAACTCTTTCTCTTTTTGTTTGAGTCATTAATGACTAATAATGATGTGGTAAAATAAACATCAAAAAATTCTTCAATTATTACAATCTACTTCAATTATTACAATGAGTATAATACACCGGTAATAATAATAATGTGACAACCCTGACGGCACTTATTAAATACAAAAAGTTCAATCGAAAGAAATGTAAGAGAGACAATATATAAAACCATAATTTTTAAGAAAGTTATTTACTTTAAAAATAAACACTACTTTAACTTTATAAGTATAAAGACCGAATATAAAAAGAAGGCGACATAAATTTGCGTAAACTTGATGTGATGGTATTTTTGGCTTTAACGTTTCCAAATTCAAGGTAATCCAGGCAACTTTGCACCAACCTAGAGTTTATTGCGGCCGAATATTATGTAAACAATACTTTTATATTTGTCAACTTATAAATAAGATTGTGTTACAATGTCTTTGGCTCTGAACGAGCAACATTCTTATTCTTTGAGTAAACAAAAATATTATTTTCCGCTTACCTTTTTGCTCGAGTGTTTATGGTAAGTGCTCGGATGAAGCAAATACAAATATCTGTCTATCGCCATGCACACTAGAATAACAGCGCTCTGTTGACTCACTGCTCCCCGTAAAAGAGCCTGTAATACAAATTTGTCCTTCCAAGTTTATTTTCTCTGCGATATAATGGCGCGCAACGTTGGATGCAGAAATCATGAACAATATTACCGAAGCTAAGTGGCCACGTCTTGTAAAATACAACAGACAGAGAGACCCCTGTTTACGGATAGGGATGCGAATCAGTGGGAAGTATAATGTAATTTTACAAGGAAACTTTGAGAAATATTGAGTTTCTGCACGGTCATCGTTAGCCATTAGCGTTAACTTAGGAACTGTAACCGTAGAAGTTTACGGGCTTTATTGTCAGCGGATGATTCTGCCGACATTTTATCCCCATTTAATCTTTTGAACTGAAAATAATTTGTATAACTTGAATGGATTATCACAAAGGGCTTTTATATTGTTGTCTGCCATTATTGTGTTTATTAATCCATCTTTTATCAAAAGTATATTTTCTTTACGCATGTCGACATTTTCGTTTTCCAGTTAGCGAAGAGCTCGGCGTATAATTTCGACGCTATGAAGTGAGGAGCCTGACGAAATTGTATTTAACCTGAGTACCCGATTACCTTTTAACCTCGCAGCCTCATTGTGAACTTTTTCAAGACACAACTTTACTCATTTTCTCTTCGTCTCTTGTTTAAATAAAGTTTTGTAGCGAGTTCACTGCTTCGCTTTGCTCTAACTGCATTATGTAACGCTCTTAAATTTGATGTAATATTAATAACAGTCTCTTCTCGTAATTTACTACTTAACTAGTTCTTTAACTGGGAACTTGAAATATTGCTTAAAATGTTACCTGGATCTGACAGAATATTTCTCCGTAGGGCCAGCACTTGTATAATGCTGGTAAGAGTGCGACAGGTGCTATTAAAATGCCAGTGAATAAGTCGTTCAGTGCTAGTGAAGTAAGGAGATATCTTGGCTGGAATTGGGGAAAATGCATTAAATATATGTATTCAGTACTCTACTATTGTAGTTGTTAGTTACTATAACCCGTCAAATTTAGGATGATAAGTTGAACAATTAATAAAATATTTGGAATAGTATTCGATAAATGAATTATTTACAATTTCATATAGTTTGAATTAAATAGTCAACAAAAATTAGGTATGTCAGAATTAGAGATGCGCTGAGTAACACTTTTGCCGAGTAACGAGGTTTACTCGGCCAAGTAACTCGGTTTAATCAAATTCCCATTTCGCGTGTGTAAACAAGTACCAACAATTTTGCGGCAGTCAAGACGTCGGCTCGCAGATGAGTGCGTCTCGTAATGTTGTCTCATTAGCATAGTTGTAATTTTTTAAATTGAAATTTTCATAAACTACTTATAAATACTTTCGGATTAACACTGTTGTTTTAGTTATATCTACCTAAATATATTGCTTTTCTTTAACAAAGTGTACATAAATACATACATATATCAAAATATAACAAAGTATAACCGAGTTATTCGCCCGCCGAGTACGAGGAGTGCCGAGTATCAACCAAGTACTTGGCCCATCTCTAGTTAGAAACATTTAATTCCTCACTCGTTTTTGTGTAGCTATTATAACTTATTGTACAACTTACTATAAAACAAATAGGCGTGTTCACGCTGTCGGACTATATAAGAAAAGGTGTCAGACTATATCATAATATAACTTACTTGGTTGTCAATATATTTAATGTATCTTCGATTGTTTAGAACACAGATAAGTACAAGGTTACAGAAGACAATGGCCATAGACAAGGCAAATATGAAGAATGCTTTAATGATATCTGCTGTAGCCGGAAACGTTGAAGGCCAACCTTTGCCGTTCAAGCTACACGAGCTATTTGCAAGAGACGGTGCCACGAGCAATGCACCCTTGGTCGAGTCAAACATAGTCGGCGCCTGCGATTAGCAGCGCACTGATTTTTTGTATAAGGCATTGAGATCTATACAATGCGACTGTATAAAAAGTTTCCAATTCTCCTGTTTCACCTATTAAAGGGGAGCAAGCATTCAGTCCACCATTATCTGTTTCTTCTTCTTCAGCATTCTGTTAATCTGTAACAATAATTGGACTATTTATAACTTATTCACTGCTCTAAGTAATTGCAAGTAATTTGCCTACAAGACGAGAGCGTGCAGACAAACTCGAATGAGATTTTGCTCTTCTAGCCAATACGAATATGTTCCTCAATAATTAAATAAATAGATATTAATTGATTTAAATATATTTTTGTTTTGATAACATTTTCATAAGCTTTAGTTTTGGTTCTTTACATTAATGCGGCAACTTTGTATGAAAGTTTTGGTATCAAAAGCTATGGACAATTCGGCGTCTTATAAATATATATATTATATTTATTAGGTACGAGTATATAAACCACTCAAACTCTTTGAAGTCGGTGTGGCTTGTAACAGGTAAGTCGATTTACCTAAATAGAGAAGGGATTGAACGTTGTGAGCCACATAGGATCGTCGTCTTGTGGGTTTTGACCAGCCTAAGTCAGACGTCAATACTACGAATGGCTATTTATTTGAATACTGATTTTGTTTGAATTGCCATTTTGTATCCGTTTCTGTCTGTATTCAAAGTAATACTTTATTCAAAAATAAATTTATACGTTCGATAATTACTTTGAGCAATTTTAATTTTCTTTGAGTTTACATGTTATTGCGTAAGAATTTTATACATTTAAAATGTTTATAAATTTACAACATGCCCCAGGCAAGACTCGAACCACACTGTACCTTGCTTTAGTCTTTCAATTAAGTCTCGTAATATAATAAAGTTTATTATTTATATTATAATCTTTGTATTTTAACAATACTTTTCGTATATAGTATATGTTAATAAATCAACATGTACTTTTATTTGGAGCATACCTATAAGAGTTTAACTTCTCCAACTAGTGTGTGTGATGGGTCAAACTAAAGATTGACTTTGAAATTGACTTTCACAAAGTCATTTACGAGTAGATTATGTGCTCTAAACAACTTTACACTCCGTAACTTTTAACATGATTAAATCTAGCAATATAATTAAAAGTAGCTATTTTATTATCTAAGAGCATTTGTACTAGAAATTCAAAATTCGAATTTAATTAAAGAATTTTTCTAAACATTGTTTTAAAAGAGAATTATTCCCATAATATTCAAATTCTCTAAAAATATTGATAAACCTATAAAAATCTGCAAGGAGGAAATGGGTGAAATGGTCAGCGTATAGCTTGGACTGATCACCCGTCCTGCCAAGGGTGTCCCCGATAGAAAATAATAATAATATTTAAATTCAATAAAAAAAAGTGAAATCACTTTTCCCCCATACCCCATTCGTCATGGACGAGCACATATCTTTATTTATTACAATTAAAACGGCGAAAACCAAACATTAATTGAAGTATTTGATCCCTGTCCGAACGAAACAATCTATTGTTTCCCCGGTATTCGAACGCAGGGTTTTTCGTGCTTAATGGAATGCTAAGCAACACGTTGAACAATTTTACTATAGAACCGAAGGTTGAATATATTATTGAAAATTTCAATGTTTAATCTGAATTTTATATATAAAAATATGAAGGAAACAAAGGCTAAAAGCTTTTAAAATTGCTGTAAGTGCGACTTAAGTATAAACTTTCTAACAACGCTTCGAAGTTTAAAAGTGATGTTTTAAAACCTGCTATCTCAATGTTATTACAAAGAACAACCCTATATAGAAAGGAGCTATAGGCTTATCCCTAGTATTTTATAAAATACTTACTCCCTTGGCATTAAGAGATAGCTCGGGCTTGCGTAAAAGCCTTAAGAGGCAAAAATATGGTCCCTGCGCGTAGAGTAATAAAAAGTATACTGCAATCTGTTTTGTTGGTGAATTTTTCTTGCGTTTTATTTCTGGGACTACGCGATTTATACTACAAATTTAATAAGGTGTTAAATTTTAAAGAAAAGCAAAGGTATTAGAAGATATTTTATTCTTCTATGGTGGTTCACAACAATAATTAATTACTACACTCGACACATGATTGATAGGGAGTGGTTAAAGACTAAATACTGTCTATAGTTTACGCGAGTAGTACACATTTAAATAAAACACTATAACGGTTTAAAACGCGATATATAGTTAAACTTATTTAAAAATCAAACACTATAACAGTTTAAAACGCGATATATTAGTTAAACTTATTTGAAAATGATTTTTAACTTCGGCCCGACGTTTCGGATGCTTTGCAGCAGCCGTGGTCACGGGGAGACGAAGTTAAAAATCATTTTCAAATAAGTTTAACTAATGTATCGCGTTTTAAACCGTTAAAGTGTTTTATTTCAATGGTTAAAGACTATGAAACTAAAGTGTTAATTATTTTCAACCCCACCTCGAGGTGATATATTTTGCCTTAAAACTAAAACTGATGTGACTTTGAACTTGATATGTTATAATCATAAGCAATTTATGGTATACTATATACTTGTTTTTACCAACTACCTGACTCACAGCTTTTGGCTAACCTATAGTCCAAAAGCTTCCAAATTACATATAAAATCGCCTCGTGGAATTCGTCAGTTAACCAATTTTACTTAACAACTTTGATCTCCTAAGAAGTGGATGACCGATATTTGGGTCTCGACCCTTATTAAAACCGCAAGATTGGATTACAAGCTAAACACGGTCACCTATGAGAATTAACCATGTTGAAAGTATTTAACTTGAACATAATTGAACGAATAACTTGTACTACGCAAAGCTATTAATTAGAAGGTGATTTTCTAGAATAGTAAGAAATCGTTTAATGTAGAATAAAACTTTATAGTATACTAGCTTTGTCAGCGACTTCGTCCGCGAGAATCGTCATTTTGGGCATCCAAATTCGTTTTTGCAAACCCCTTCATCTTTACAAACTTAAACTGTTACCCACGACGTCGGTCGCGTCCCTTCCCGTCGTCCTTGCTGATTAATCTTAAAAGATATAGCGGCAAGGACTTAGGTCATTTAAAGAGGAATCATATGTATTATATTATAGCCTATAACCTTCCTCGATAAATGTTCTAACGAACCAAAAATCGTAGTTCCTAAGATTAGCGCGATCAAACATACAAACGAACAAACTCTTCAAGTATAAAAACATAAAATATAAGTTTATATTAAGAACATAGAAAATAACACGTATAGACAGATTTGTATCACGCAATAGTTTGACTGCAGCTGGATTATTTTGAACGCTGACCTTCTAAATTCTAAACTTGAAAAAATAGAAGAATCTGCCAGACAGAGGCCAAAATAAGTCTAAGTGCTTGCTTATAAAAAAGTGATCACAAAAAGGAAAGGGTGCTTTACGCGGAGAATACAATTTTTATTTTTAATAATTACTTTTCAAGTAGTATTCTGTATATCTAGTAGAAACTGTCTTCCTATTTCATTGTAAATGCAAGTTTTCATTAGAAGCCTCTAGTTACTAACATCCTTCATAGAACCAATCTACGTTAAAGTAATAAAAAAAAACAATGTTTACACACACTTTGAATAACTTCTGCGCTTTGATTGAATCTATACTAATATTTTAAAGCTGAAGAATCTGTTTGCTTAGGCGCGCTAATCTCGAGAATTACTGATACGAATTAAAAAAAATTTGTGTTGCGTAGAAAAATTCACCGTCAAAGGAACCACAGGAGCGAAGAAGTAGTGGAATACCTATGTAAAAAAAATGGGGAAAATTTTTCATCTTTGAGAGCTTCCGTTGTGTGCGCCGCGAAAACGGCTTTAATTCTTGACAATAAATAGGTTGTAGGAATATCATAATTCCGTCCAGGTACTGAACCACCATGATGATAAATCCATCCAGATTAAAACGCGTTTCTATTTCAATCTGTATATTATAGCCAGGGTATTAACACCTACCATTAAATGAATCCCATGGTTGTCTGTCCGTCTCTATAATAAATAATTCCCTTATATATAATGTATAGCACAAAAAACACTCAATAACGCGATCACTGAGATTTGCAGCTCAAAAGCTTGCCATATCTTAGAAGATAAATGAAGTTACGATTTGGAAGTTACAACATTTTCTAGTCACTGCGGGTGGCGACTGGCGAGTAACAGATGATGTGGGTCACAATAATTATTAAGAAAATAAGAAATGCTCAGACTTAAGGACGCCATTTGGTTCCGAGGATTTTCCTCTATTATCTTAATTCTTCAACCGAATTTCTAATAACCGTTTTGTTGATTTGAATGTTAAAAAGCAGCGTTAACTACTAAAGGTCTTGTCTTTAAAAAAAAGAAAGGAAAAGAAAATATGTTTTTTAAGGCAGGTGGATCAGAAAGAATCAACTAATGACGACGATATACACTATATTGTATTAATAAAAGTTATTAAACTACATTGCATGATTTAAAAATCGAAAATAAATTGATAAAATTTTCGACTCGGGCAGGAAAAAATTTTCAATTTATTTTCGATTTTTAAAATTATATAGTGCCTTCATGTGCAATAACATGTGAAAAATATTAAAGTTTTCAATATATTGTATGATAGAAAGATTGCTATATTCAAGCTGCACTAAATGTACGAGATCAGGACATTAATCTATGGCTAAAATGTAAATAAAAAAAACTGTTTTATATTAGTTTCTCATAGTAATGTAGGTCAGGGATGTGTTCTACTTGGCCTCAGGCATGTACTTGGCTGACAACGACGCCTGGCACTGTCCACAAAGTCGTAGGGCATAACGTCACATTAGTTAAACTTGTTAGAAGCATTTTGTGATTGGAGTACCCCACGAAATATTAACTTAAAACAATGTTCTATTTTCAAAAAAAATACTCAAAAATAATATCTTAAAAAAATAAAAACTTAAGGTCTGTAGTTTTCACAAATATTACACATTTAAATAAAACACTT